TTTTTGTATGTACTGTTTAATTGGATCCAACTGGCATAGAAACATAGGAGGAGATTGCCCCTCCTTCTCCAGTGGAGCATCTGGTGGATTCAAACTGCATGCCTTCAGGATTGCAGAGCACAATCAACACTCTTAACACCAGCAGTCAGGAAATCAATTGGGAAAATCTGCTGTCAGTGACCTCTCCATAGTGTTGAAAAGGAAAAATGTCATTCTGGAGACTAAGGTGTGCCTAATTAAAGCCATAGTCTTCACAATTACTTGCTATGCATCAGAGAGCTGGACAATGACTAAGGATGACTGAAGAAGAATCAATGCCTTCTAGTTGTGTTGTTGGAGAAGAGTCTTGAACATTGACCATCAATAACACAAATTAGTCTATTTTGGATAAGGTGAAACCAAGTTTCTCCTTGGAAGCTAGGATTTTGAAGCTCCATCTCACATACTTAGAGAATGTGGCCTGGAAAGATTGGTCCTTGGAGAAGGGCATCATGCTTGAAATGGTGGAGGGACAGCATGAGAAAGGAAGACCCGGATGAGATAGATTGATACAGTAATTGGGATAATGGGGGTTGGTGTGTAAGAATTAGTGAGATTGACTTAGGTCAGGGGAGGGTTTAGAGCTACTGTACACAGGGTTGTTTTGGGTCACACATAACAACAGCAATATAAGATCACTAAGTACATCTGGTTGTTAGGTGCTGTAAGTTGACTATGACTTATGAATAACAGATCTGTACACTGTCCTATCCCGTGTTGTCCTCATCATCTCTGATACATTCAAGCTCATTGCCATAGTCACCATGTCACCTGTATGGTTGAGCATCAGTAAAAACTAGGATATTCAAATTCATGAAGGATGTACTAATTTTGCTCAAGAAATAGCTAGAATTAAAAGGCTAGATAATACTACACCTTTGTTCCAGAATTTTATAACTCTGTTGAATCATACTTGTCAAGGTTAAAAGTGTGATTTAAATAGACAAAGTAGGAACAGATAGGAAAAACACTTGCTATCTGAGGAGTAGCAAACTTTAGTGGGTAAATGACAATGAGTTTATATATTCTTACAATGTAAATTATAAGTAATGCAAAGTCACCAAGCAGAGAAGGGATGTTACCGAATTTAGAAGACTAAATGGTGCTTAAGTCTCTGATGAAGAACAATAACACTACATAATACCTGCAAGTGCGAGATTAGCCTGACATGTTGGCAGACAGGATAATGAGGTCTATCTAGCTCACTGCCTGGAGGTTGCTCACTTCAGTCCAGTTTTCATAACCTTAGTGCACTTCCTCTCAAATGAGAAAGTAAGATGAGTTAGCGTGTGCAATTTCACTCATAGCCAAAAGTCCATTCTGAACATATCTGCCCACATCAGAAGGAAATGAATGAGGAGGAATGAGGCACTGGCAGAGTACAGCCTAAGAACAGGCTCTGAAAGAGAAATTTTTTTCATTCAAATCAATAGAATTTTTCTTTTCTCTAAGTTGTATTAGAAAAATACAAACTTACTGCTTTGTCCCAGTGATGGCACATCGCAAACCTTTTCTCTACAGCTTAACTATGTTTATCCTCACCGCACATTTCCCTGTCTTTTCCATATTCCTTCCCTTACTACCTTACTCACTGGCTGTCATTCATTGTACCTGACAAGCTATAACTCATTTTACTGATACTTCACTCACTTAGATATACCTCCTGAGAAAAAACTAAAATGACTATCAAAATATTACAGTGGAGAGCAGAGAAGCCAAAACAAAAACAAGACAAACAAACAAACAAAAAAACAACAAAACATATTGAAGTGAAAGAGCAGAACAGAAGATTCCCAAGGGCAGCTCAGGAAGACGAAGCAAAGTATTATAATGGAATGTGCAGAGAACTGGAATTGGAGACTAAAAAGGGAAGAACTTGCTCTGATTTTCTCAAGCTGATAGAACTGAAAAACAAATTTAAGCCTTGTGTCACAATATTGAAACATAATATGGGCAATATATTGAATGATCCAGAAAGCATCAAAAGAAGATGGACAGAATCACTGTACCAGAAAGAATTGATTGACACTGAAAAATTTCAGGAAGTAGCATATGAGCAGGAGCCAATTTTAATGAAGGACGAAGTTTAAACTGCAATGAAGGCATTGGCAATAAATAATGCCCCACGAATGGATGATATACCAATTGACTTGTTTCAATTAACAGATGCCGCCTCATATGCACTCACTAATCTGTTCCAGGAAATTTGGAGGAGAAATGTCTGGCCAATGGCTTGGAAGAGATCCATATTTGTCCTCATTCCCAAGAAAGGTGAACCAGCTTAATGTGGAAACTATCAAACAATATTGTTAATATCACATGCAAGCAAAATATTGCTGAAGATTGTTCAAAAACAGCTAGAACAGTACATAAATAGGGAACTGACAGAAATTTAAGCAGGATTTAGAAGAAGGTGTAGTACCAGAGACATCATTGCTGATGTCAGATGGACCCTGGCTGGAAGTAAAGAATACCAGAAGAAGGTATATTTATACTTTGTTGACCATGCAGAGGCATTTGACTACGTAGATAATAACAAGTGTGGCTGACATTGAGAAGACAAGGAATCCCAGAGCTCTTAATTGTGCTCATGCGGAACCTACACTTGGACTAGGTGGCTGTTGTGCAAACAGAGCAGAACGCTTCATTGTTTAAAATTAAGAAGAGAAGACATCAGGGTTGTGCTTTCTCTTCATACCCATTCAATCTGTATGCTGAGAAAATTGTCTGAGAAGCTGGACTCTCTGTGAAGACGAATTTGGCATCAGGATTGGAGAGAGACTCGTTAATAACCTGGACTATGCAGACAACACAACCTTGCTTGCTGAAAGTGAGGAGGACTAGAAGCACTTGTTTCAGAAGATCAAGGAATGCAGACTTCAATATGGACCACATCTCAGGATCAAGAAAATAAAGATTCTTACCACTGGACCAATAAGCAGCATTCTTATGGAGAGGAGACTGAAACTATCAACAGTTTCGTCTTAGTTGGAACCATAATTAACACTCTTTTTTTTTTTTTTTCTCTTGATACCAGCAGTCAGGAAATAAGGAGACACTGCACTGGAGAAATCTGTAGTTAGGAAACTCTTGAAATTATTGAGAAGTAATGTCGTCAGTTTGAAGAGTAAGGTATGTGTCTGACTCAGGCCATGGTCTGTCTAATTATTTGCTGTGCATCTGAGAGCTGATCAATGCATTAGGATGACAAAGAATTGATACCTTTGAGCTGTGGTGCTGGAGAAGAGCACTAAACATCCCATGGATGGCCAAGAGAATGAACAGATAAGTCTTGGAGAGGGTGCAGCCAAAGTGCTCTTTGGAGACAGAAATTATGAAACTTTGCCTCACACACTTTGGGCATGTTGCTAGGAAAGGCTATTCCTTGGAGAAGGACAGGACACTGAGAAGGGTGGAGGGTCAGTGAAGGAGAGGAAGACCCTCAACCAGGTGGATTGACACAGTGACTGCTGTGATGGTTTCTTGTGTGCCAGGAAGTGATAATGGCACAGGATAGAATAGGATTTTGATCTTTTTTTCATAGGGTCACTATGCATCATACTCGACTTTATGACACCTACCAACAAATGGAGTAATTTACTTGATACTCTCATTTAAATCTTTCTAGCTCAAGATTTTGTGTTTTTACTGCTTTGCAGAATCACAATGGCAGCCTATCCTAAGAGTCATTAAGCAGAGCTCTCTTTGAAAAACTACATTCTTTAAGAATTATAGGGCCACTTCTCCATGAATCCTCATTTTCCTTTTCAAAAGGAAATCTATTTTTAAAGGAGGACAGATAAGATAAAACCCACGTGGGAAGGTTTCAGTTTGTTTAGTAATCCATAGGAATTGCTCTGCTAATTCATAGGTTACACCTCTCTGGTGGTTCAAATCCACTAGTATCTCTGTGGAAGAAAGATGATCAATCACTTCCCATGTAATTTATAGCTTTACAGCCCCAATGTAGTTGTAGCTACAAGTCAATTTTGACTCAATAGCAATGGATTTTGAATTGAGTGATTTTTTTTCCAAAAGGATGAAGATTATACATTCCAAGCAGAAATTATTATAAAGATTAAAAACCAGAATAAAATAACACTTTAGAGGACAGCATTTTTCTTCTTGGGCTATTTAATAAGATTTTAGGTATAGCAAATATCTACTGAACATCTAAATTATGCTGTTGTTGGTGTTGTGTTCTGTCAAATTAGAACTTATCCACACCTGACTCTCTAGCCAGTTTTCAGAGCCGTTAAATGGCACAGGAGGAGATTGCCTATCTGTCTGCTATTGAGTATGAGGATTGAGTGGATTTGAATCACATGCATTTTGGATTGCAGTGCAACTTTTTACACCGAGGAAACCAGAGCTCCCTAAACTTTTCCAGGAAGTGTAAAGATTCAAAAAAGCTTTCTAAAATGTACCACTTTTTGACAATGATTTGGGATCTAGTTCATAAGCACTTAATTCTCTCCAGATTCTTGCCTTGATGTATACTAGCGTCTTCTCAGACTCAATTTAAAAAACAAACAAACAAACCTGAAAATAGAAGATTGTGACAGGTGTTTGACCACATATTCCAATAGTTTTATTGTTTTAGAGACTTATGTAGACCAGATCTCATCATAAATCTCTTTTCCCCAAAAAATTGTTTCTGGCATGGTTCAAATAGAACAACCAATTTATTTATGTCAGCTCTTGCTCTTTTATGTGACCTCATATTGAGCAATCTGTTAGATGAAGAGGCTAGTTAGCAAACAATAACATTCTACAGAAATACTAAGAATCTCTACTAGGCATTCACACTCCTTGTTTTTTACTTCAGAGAAAGAAGAAACCCAAGGAGGTTTTACAGACACTTCAGACCAATTACTAGGCATCCCAAAATCAACTTTACTGCAAAATACATAGCTCCATATATCATAAAAATACATCCATACATTTGCTGTAAATCTTACTTGGTAAAATGACTTGTTGCTTCTAAATCTGTGTCTTGTGGACGTAGGTTATCATATACATATTTCAGGTCTTGGATTCCACTTAGCTCAGGCAATCCTGCATGCAGCATCTTAATAAAATGAAACAAACAGAAACACAGATAAATGAAGATTAAAACAATCTCTAGTCAGAAGATTTATTGGCTTTGAGATGTGATACTAGAGGAGAATACCGAATATTCCATGGGATTCCAAAAGAATAAAGAAATACATATTGGAAAATGCAACCAGAGTGCTCCTTAAAGGCAAAGATAGTGAATCTTTGACTTAAATACTTTGGGTATGTTGTTTGGAGTGGCTAGTCCTTGGAAAACAACATCATGTTTGGAAAGGTAGAGAGTCAGCAAAAGAGAGGAAGACCCGTGACAAGATGGATTGACATGGTGAATCTAATGATGAGTTCAAGTATAAAAGAAATGGTGAGGATGACACAGGATAGACACGGGGTAGCTCCATTTTTCATAGGGTCATTATGAGTTGTAGTTAAATTGACGCCTCCTAACTGTTCAAAATTATCTAATAGCAATAATAATCATTAGAGTGGTTTCTGAGGGATCCTGATATTAAGTGCTTAGCTTCTAGCTGAAAGATTGATGT